TTTTTTGTCTTGCCGTCTTGATTCCCTTATATGCTCATTAAACACTGCCATATTTAGAGTGGGTAATGTCTGTGTCTTCCATCGATAGTACAGATTCAGGGGAGCATAATGGCACAGAACTAATTCTTGATTCAGAATCTTCTGTAAAATTACCTCCGATAAACATAGGGGTTTGTCCCGAGATATTTTATGGACTCTTGAACGGATTTGTTCCGGATGTTAAGGTTTGGTTTGTGTTGGATTGCAGAAGAGGAAAAAAAAGAAAAGTTGTTCGAGAACGTTCTCAGCTGTCATTTTTCTCTTGAAGTTTTGCCTCAGTCTATTTGATTGCTTTATTTTTCAATTTCCTTTGTAGTATGGATGTCTAGCTCTGACTTTGTTTCTTCTCTCTTGCTCTCCATCACCACCACATGGATGATGACGACGACGAGCCGTCTGAGCACATTTTGTCCATTTAAGCAGTTTATCAGAGAGATGAACTCCCATTTGACTGACACACAGAACTGACGGATGGGCACACTTAGATTATGCTTAGTAACACACCTGATGAAATCTTCCTACTCTTGATAAGAAGAGAGCCGGAAGTGGAAAAACTCTTCATCATCATACTTTCCCCGACCTTCCATGTGCGTCCGAACGAAATTCAGCATTTCCTGCTCACCATAAAAGGCAACATCTGTTCTCATTTGTGGTGAGAAGGCACATGCATACTTACTTAGATTGCACTTTCTTTTCTTCAAAGAACTTGCTCATATCTACCATGTGTATAGAGAGTTAATGTAAGATGATAGACTTGACGATTCGGAGATAGCGTTCTATTTTGGGAGACTTCATGAATTCACTTATTTTCTTAGCTTAGCTCCTTCCATATAAGAAGAGGCTTGTTGATTGAGCTTAAATTTGAGAGAAATTTGTAATTGACAGGGTTAATAGACAGTATGAGTTTCCACCTCAACCTCCTATTTGATTTTTTGCAGAATGGAACTTTCCGTACATCCGACGATGGCAAGTCTCAAGACGGTTCAGCCTCAGCAGCATCAGCCGCGGTTCGTTTAGTGTCTGTGAACGCTCTATTCTCACCGTTCCTGGTTTGTAGGCTCTCAAGAGAGAAGGACGTAAAAAGAAAAAGAAAGAAAGAGAAGCCAAGAACACTTTCTTCGCAGAGAATGTTAAAGGTAATTTGCCGTTTTTTCGTTGTTTTGCTTTCTTGCCATTGGCAGAACTATTTGTTGTTTCTATTCTCGAAACATCTGGGAGATTCCTCTACCCAGATGGTCTTCCGACATCAGCTTTCTAGTCCGCTGAAGAGAAGGACATGCTTCTCATTAGCGCTGCAACAAATACTTTCACATCGCGATTGAGAGAACACCTATGAACTTCGATGAAGTTCATCGTCAATGTTTTCGTGAATCAGAAGTCTTTGTTTTCCTGTCTCCTTCTCACATATGGAATGGAATACACGTCAACATACTTGTGTGTATTTTTTCTTCTTCTTTCTCCTCTCCATTTTCCTTTTGCTCGGTCTCTGTTAATATCCTCACGCATGCACACATGCTCCTTAGAATATTTGGTTCATAATCGATTTCAATTTCCTTCCCGGTTCAAAACAGTCATGCCATTCCATTATTTTTTTTTCTTTGATGACAATTAGATTTGCTCCGACCATCTTAAGCCTTTCTACTAGTGTTGGTACTATCTGTCCTATCCCCAGTTTACTCTCCTCCTTCTTCTCGTCCTCTTCTCCTCCTCCTTGTCCTCCTCCTGTCGCTTTTTGAATTGTTATGCAGACTGGTCTACTATTCTGTGTGTGGCTTGGGACCCTCTGTGTCTGCCTTCGGGCCTGGCTGCTGTTGACCATATAGAGTAATGTGGGCCTTACCCAATCTCTCTTCCCTCCTTCACCTCCTCGCTTTCCTTTCAGTGTCTCTTCACTAGCATTATTCTCTCGTAGCTCATTCGTCCTCTCTCACATCTGAGTCTATCTCGATGGGCCTCTCGCATTCTCAGCTGTCGACCTAGTCTCTGTGCTGCGTCTTTGGTCTGTGCATCTCTTCAATAAGCGTTCTCTCTACATCAGTTTCCATCCGTTTTGGGTCGCTCTCAACTGTGTCGCGCGTCGTCAGTTTGGCCCACTTCCAAATTCTCTGTTATTCACGGACGATTTTGCTCCTTTTGCCTCCTTTTTTGGACATTTGCCCGCATCATGTCAGCATGTGTAATCTTAGTTTTCACCTTTTTTCGCTTCCCACCCCTCCAGCCAATATGTGTTCGATTTTTGCTTTCTCCATACTCCACATATCGTTGTGTTTTTAGTTTATAGCTAGGGAATTTGACTATTTCCGAGAGCGTTTTCTATGTTTACATCAGGAAGCGTAGCAGCAAAGCGAAATCGTATCACTTAATCTGAGTCCTCGACTTCTCTTCTGTACACAGTCTATTGGGTTTTCTCAGTTCCTTTCAAATTAGAAAACTAGTCATATTGAGGCTTCTAAATTCCTTTTTTTTCCTGATGACTCATGTACACAAAGATTTCCCCCACACCATAACTTCCTTCTCATCATCATCTTCTTTCTCTTCACTCTATAGTAATCATTTGTTTCCCTCCTCTCACTTCTCGCGTTTTTAAACTTACACTGAACTTCAATTCATCTTTTCCATGATTCATCTCTTTTTTTATTTCCAGGTTATATGGGCGAACTGCCCTTGGACCAACTCTTAAATCTCATAGAAGGTGAACCAGTACCGTGCGAGAGTGTTAAAAAACAAGTGAGCCGTTCATTTCCTCTTTTATCATTCTCTTTTCGTGTTTAGAAAGGCCAACAGACTACGACGGAAAGCGAGGATCCCGTTCGAAAGAGTCGTCGGCGAAAGTCGAAAGAGTCTAAAGATATCAAGGAGGACGCAGTCTCTCCAACAAACCTCGCCACCATCGGAAATCACCAGGATAAGGCGCCATTGGCGCCAAGCAACGATCAGGACCTTAGTCCTACGTTATCGTTGAAGTCCAGCATGAAGTGAGTATCGATTTGTCATTTTTTGTATTTGTCTTTTTGTAATGTTACTGTCTGTTCAATTTGATTGATAGGCAACAGCGAAGTCGGATATGGAAATTATTTTCTTGATTATAGGGAACCGGTAGCTGCCACTATCATCGCTGGCAACCCTAGTAACAGTTCGAAAGCTCAAAATATCAATAAGATTTCACCGAAGCGACGTAAAAGTAATGGTCCTACAAACCAATTACCTAGCTCGGAGAATGCTGGACCTAGGATTGGCAGGTTTTCCACCGAAGATGCTGAGGAAGAGTTCTTATCAGCAGATGAGGGTGTTGCGTTATCACCAGGAGAAGAGGTAAAAAGAGAAATTTCGGCTGTAACCAACGTGTTTTCTTGTAGAGTATGTCATCTAATGCCATCGTGTCTTCGGACGTAATGCTGGATGGAGCCAATTATAGGTAAACGGTGTACATGATCAAATCTTTCAAAAACACTTCTGTTGTTCAGAGCTGATGATGAGGATGTGACTATTCTAGAGAGACACGCAACAGAAGAACAAGAATTTATCACAGTTTCTGGAAAAGCTAAGAAGAAGGTTCATCATCAACAGACAACTCGAACAGGGTGAGGAGAATGGACTTGTTTTCTGGCTATTACTTACCTTTCATTTTGTAGTTCCAGTTCCAACATGAAGAGTGAGCGACGATCAAAAGCCACAACTGAACAACGGCCTGAAGTGCCACCACAACGTAGAAATTCTTTGGAAGAACGGGTATCATCCAATAATAAGAATAGAAGACCGACTACAACTTCATTAGCTGATTTCATGGACGATAAGAAGGTAGGAATATATCTTATAAGCTTCTTGAACATTACTTCAGCAGGAGAACAAAGCTCCGGCAACTCGTCAAACGACTCCTCCTAAGCGGAAATCTCTTCGTCATGAGGTAACCTATTACAACTCATCTAATCCTATTATGTGATATCTTTTGCAGAGACCTGAATCCACTGCAGATTCGGAACAAAGCTATCACGATGCTCCGTGTGATGAGGTGCGTTAACGATTTTTTATCGATTTTTTGTTCTGTTGCAATTCCACGGCTCAGTGCCCGCCCATTTCGCTCTGTCTTTATTATGTAACTTTTATGACTATTAGTAACACGACTATTGTTCTTCAAACCTCATAGCAAACACGAAATGACTATTCTAGCACCTCTGGTTACCATACAACTTTTAGGGGCGTTCTTGTGCACCAAAGGCACGCCCATATCTGTCCTTCATGAAACAGGCGCGTCGTTATCGCTCTCAACAATAATGATTCGCAGTCTATCGCGTTTCCCTCTTTTTTTTTGTTTTGCGAAGTATAACTTTTCGTTAGCATTATGTCGTTGACGAGAAGCTCCCTCTCACTCTGCCACTTCCCTTTTCCATTTTCGAAACTTTCCTGTTCTCACTCGCTCTCTCCTTTCATCGCACCATCAATGTTTTGCCATAAAAGCCACTGAAGACGTTTTCGTTTTTGATAATTGAATAAGAACGATCGTTTTGTGGTTTGAGAAACAACGGCAAAAGGTCGGCAGGCAGATAGTCCCAATCGATAGACTGCTGTCGTATCCCCTAACACAGTCATACTGTCTAAAAACTTCATTATGTCTTAAAAAATTGCTTTCTGCTGTCTCCTTTTCGCAACTTTACCGTAACATTCTTACAATTCGCTCGCCGTCCATGAATATAGCCAATCTTTCGCAAAATATTTGCTTTTAACTTCAAACAAACTTCGTAGTTATGAACTGATGACATTTGTGCCATCGTCTCTTATCATCCTTTATCATAATCTGTGATGCTATATTACCAGTTCATCAGACGGTTCTTCCCCCCTGTTTTCCCTGTTACTCGCTCCGCTTTACTGACACTGTCTGTCTCCCCCCCATCTTTTCATTTTGTTTTGCCCACCCAAGTTTTTCGCGTTTTCTCTCTTTGCGCCGGATCAATTTTGCTTTTCAGATGGCTCCAACTGCTGTTAACGGAACTCCTTCCCCTGAACGTGCTTTCAGCTATGCTGATGCTGCGAAAAAATCATCGGATTCAAGTAATTCTTTTTCCCTTTCCATATAATATTTCATGTGTATGTTATTCAGCTGGCGGTAGGGACCATTCTCCTTCAGAATCGGCTAAGCCGAACTCTCACCACAACGACATTTCCTCAAAAGCGGTAGAAATTGTAGGCTCACAAGGTGCGTTTATTGACTAGAAGACAAACTATGAGTCATCTTATGTAGGAAGTTCGGGTGCTGAAATTCCCAATGGAACTGCTTCCTCAACAGGCTTATCGTTCTTTTATGATGAGAACGAAGCCACAAATACGGATCATAAACCTTCAGGTAAAAATGTTTTTCGTGTGTCAACCTATAACAAGTACCTTGTTTAGAAGATAATGCGTTTGTGTTGAACTTGGGTGGTAAAACCGTCCGGTTTGCGAAAGGGTTGGCTGCAAATAATGTGGAGCCTAATCAACGTCATTTGTCAATGATAGAGCTGATGACGCAACGATGGGAATCCTTCCTCAAAGGGCCAGGTACGTGTACCCTTGATAGTTTCAGAGAACTGATGTACATCCTTTTCAGCACCTATGCATTACACCGCAAAACCTTCTCCGGTATAACGTTCTCAATCAATCACGGGCTAATCCTTATCATGCGCGATATCCTTTTTTTTCCTCTTAGCCATATATGGTGTTCCGAAGGCTTTCTGTGATTACATACGCTGAGCAAATCACATTTAATTCTGCAGGTGATGAAATTAGGTGCCTAGTAGTAAAAAAAATAGTTTCTTGAAAGATTTTTATATTTTTAACTTTGCTCTTAAGTATTGAAATCCATTTCATTCACGCTTGGTTCTGATACATGTCATCCTTTTTCTCTATTATGACATCCGGTGATATTCTCGTGTAGTGTTCGATGACTTCCATCAACTCTTACGGCTTCCAACTCACTTCCGTTTTTGTCTTGCCTTCATCGAATCACCTTGTTTTTGCTCCCCAAAATTGTGTTCATTGCATATTTCCAGACTATTCTCTTTCACCCGTTTAGCAAAGTTTTATCTGTTGAAACGCCATTGGTTAGCTTAACTAAGATAATAAGTATATAGAAAATTCGTTTCTCCATGGGTCATAACTTGTTTATCCAATTGACAGGCTAAGCCATGTTTAAACGTTGTTTGACTGTGGTCCCCTGCTATCACCCCCATATTTTTACGTGTCAGGGCCACTTCGAAGTTGTTGTAAGCTAGGTAACGGACCCGTCCATGAGCTTATATCTTATTCTTCCCCTTTTTTTCTTTTTTTTTACGGTTTTTAGTTTGTTACCTATCTTGTTTCCAATGCCAAGCGATGGTCAAATCTATTTCTATGGTATTTTAGTTGAAAATTTAGTTACCTATTTTACCATATGATGTACACATCTTAGAATATTTCAATGAGAGATGTTTATTTTGCATTGCGACATGTGTTGCCAATCATGCCTCCGGTTCTATTCGTTTTTAATAAAGTTTTAATATTTTGAATGTGTATATTAGCATTTAGATGACAAAACATTTAATCTCACAGCGATTAGTTTGTGCAACCGGTCGATGAAGTCCAGAAAATAAAAATGATTTTTCCACGTATGACTCATTCACGTATGTTGTTATGCTAATTGCCAATTTGTTGCGAAATTTTTTATTTTCTCCTGACATTTTCGAGGAAACGACTTGGACGCAGTTTCGATTTGAACGATAATTGCGATCGAGCGAGGAAATGCAGATTAGACCATAATTTGAACGAACTTCAAGGTGTGTATGTCGAATAGGAATGAGAGGAATGAAGCTCGAATGAGCAGAGAGCGGAATTTTGAAAATAATTGAAGCTGTGGGCAAAACAGCAACCGTGATACTACTATCTCACTGCATGCATTGTGTACATAGATAGTAAGGTGAGAAGAGGCAATGATGACAAGGAGAGGGTCTGTTGAATTTGGCGCCCAGGACAGAATTTGGCAAGAAAACTGTGTGTTGAAATGCAGGTCCGTACGGACGTATTTTATAATGATAATTGTATTGATTGTAAAAACTATTTCGAAACTATTCTTAGCTTTTGTATTTATTTTTTTCTTTTTTTTTTGTTTTCGTGGAAACTGTATTGGTTCCAAACAAACATACAGCTTCTGTTACTTCAGCCATGGCAACAGTTGAATGCTCAGCAGATTTGTATGAGCAGTATAAGAACGGTGATAGACTACCTCTGAGTGCTGGAGCAGTTAGAGTAGGGCTTTTTCAATTTGTTCACACACACACACATTCTTATCCATTTAAGGACTTCTATTTGCCTGACGTTGAACTGACAAAGCCTGCTGTTGTGCAAATCCAGGTGAAACTGCTCTTCTACTCCATATACACACATAACATGATGATTTGGATTTTAGAACTTGAAATGTGAAAAAGAAAACACATTGAGTTGCTGTGCCCGTGCGAAAATCTCAGACGGATTCTTCTACTCAAATTGTTCGTTGTCGGTCATGCAAAAACAAATGTTAACAATTCTTTTCAGCTGCCTTCTTCTCTGACATTTTAACTTCAAAGTTCGAGAAAGATAACATTATTGGAAAGTCAGATGATTCTAACACGGGAGGAGAAATTATTTTGATCAAAAAAATTCGAAAACACGGCAATCTGACTGCTCAAGGGTGAGAAGACGCCGATCCGATGTTTGAATGTTGTTTTTTGAGTTTGGTACCTGTCATCATCGAGGATTATGAACTTCTCAGCAGAGGACATGAACTTGTGAACAATGGAAAGCAACATAAGATCTCGGATCTGAATGTCAGTTGCATTACGTTTTTGTTATTGTTGTTAGTGGTGTCGGTTGAGTTGAGAAGGGCGTCACTAATGCACACTTATCTCATCCTTGTTCAATACGTAATCTGCGTATTTTGGTAATTACGAAATATTCTCAGAGTGCCGAGCAATTCCGTGATTTCATCCCATCGTCCGAGATTACCGTTGCTTGGTCAAAAGGACAAAACAAAGAAGCTGCGAAAAGTTAGTCCTCATATCCTAACTTCTCTCTATCTATATATGTTCCAGACATGAAAGCTGCTCCACCTGCAAGTGGAAAGCAGAGTGCTGCACCTTCTAACGTTACTCCAATTAAAATGATCACTCCTTATGTTAACAAGTGGAGAATCTGCGGGCAATGCACCAACAAGGAAGAGCTCAGAGATATCAAAAGCAAGAATGGCGAGATGAAAGTAAATTGAAAGACTCTATTCTTCTCTAATTCAATATTAAGGTTTTTAACTTCGACTTGACCGACCACAACGGTGATTCTATACGTCTTGCTAGTTTTGGGGACACTGCTATCCGTGTTCACGGCATCGTTCAGAAGGATTGTGTGAGTACGCTATGACATCTTCGCCTTCTATTTCCTGTTCTTTCAGAGTTATTACATTTCTGGAGGTACTGTAAAGCAAGCTAATCGCGCTTGGAATACCACTGGTCATGATTACGAGTTGACTCTCCGTAACGATACTGAGGTATCAAAAGGTTCTGATGAAAGTATATGTTAAAGTTCTAGATCGTCCCATGCCAAGACAATGTCAAACTTCCACCAATTTCTCTGAAGGCATGCCCATTGGATCGTTTGGTTCAACATAAAGATCAGAACATCGATATCTTGGCTGTGGTAGACAAGATGGATCCCCTTAACGATGTTTGTTTTATCTCATTAACGTCAAAACTGTGTATCTTGTATCAGTTTGTTTCTCGCGCCGGAAAAAATATGACCAAACGGGATATTCACCTCATCGACGGTACCGGAACGATTGTTCAACTTGTCTTATGGGGAGAACAAGCACGCAGTATGGATGAGAACGCTCCTGGCCAAGTAATCGGTATCAAAGGATGCATGGTAAAGGAGTGGAATGGTAGAGATATCATCGCGTATCATAATAATCTTCCTGCATACAGGAAGTATCAGTTTGAGCGCTATGGGAGGATCTAAGATTGAGTTATCTCCTAACTTGCCAGGAGTTTCAGAATTGATTCAATGGCATCATAATGAGCGTCCAAAGATAGAAGCCAAAACCCTCACTTCTAACGGCTCAGGATTGGATTCTTTCGGTCAGTACCTAATCAGTCTGAGTTGTTTCAATGTTCGTTATCTTCAGCTAGAGATTTCAAGCTGATCGGAGCTGCTTGTGCTTTGCAATTAGGAAACGAGCCTGATCAACCAACTGGTCGTTACATCACTATGAAAGCCATGGTTACTAACACAAGAGCTGAAAATGCCATTTACACGGTTTGTGAAACATGTTGTCAATTGTGAGTATATTGCAGCATCTATAGGCATGTCCAAATGAAGGTTGCCAGAAGAAGGTGATTCAACTTGATTCTCAATATCGTTGTGAGAAGTGTAATACGACTAGTGATAACTTCAAATGGAATTACATGGCAAACGTAAGACATTTCAATTCGTTCCTTATGTTTCATTTTACATCATTAAGATGGAAGTGACGGACTGTACAGGATCCATCTGGGTTACACTGTTTGGCAAGTCTGCTGAAAAGGTGTTGGGGCGAACTGCTAACGAACTAGGAGAGTTGAAAGAAGGAGATGTGAGTTTGAAAATCTTGTGGTGAAAAACTGTTCATTGACTATTCAGACCGATGCTTACAATGCCGTTTTCGAGCAAATCCGATTCAAGTATCACAATTGGAGAATAAGAGCCAAGCCAGAAACTTATAACGTAAGCATTGATAGCAACTTTCATATTGTACATGATTGGATTTTCAGGATGAGACCAAGATGCGGTACAGCGTTGTTGATGTCACTGATGTAAACTACGATAAGTATATCGCCGAATTGAAAAAGGGTATTGAAGCTCTTGAAGCTATTTAAGTTGTAATAATATCATTTTCCTCATATTGATCTGAAAATGGATGAGCGAAGTTTTTCATCCGATGCTTGTATAATACTTTTTCGTGACATGTATTATGAAGTAAACATGCTTTGAACTTTATCTCTGTTTTACGATCTGTTTCAAATGGTTCGGTTATCATTATTGAAAAGTTTCAAATCGAGTGAATATCAAAAAGGAATCGAGTAAGGTTTAAGGTTAAGTGAAAATAGGCAACAGGAGTTTCATTCTCGTTTGGGATTTGAAGTTTCTTTCGTTCGCGTCGTTTCCATTCTCCACGTTACAGAAATTATTATGCGCTTCATCTCTGATAGCATACAATGTCTGTTTTTTCCATTTTTGTTCGAGAAGTGACGTAACGATCGCTCACGTAGTTCTCCTCTTTTTTTACTGTTTTTACAGACCCTAAGAAACCTAGACCAGGCGCAGAGACCCCCAGGTATCTCATTAGTCCAGGCTCCTGCCCCTTTCCCAACAGACTATAGAACTGTCCCTGAATCTCTTCCGCGGCCAGATCGAAATGGACGGCACGGTCGGTTAGTCTGGGGCGTCTGTCTATCTATGACAGCTCGAAACACATGTCAACACCGGAGAATCAGACTGGAGATAATTGCTTCGGAAATGCACTAAGTTCATACTGATGTACTGTTCTTTTTGGAGTTCAATATGCTGGTTACGTTATAACAGTATCGATCAGACTTCCTGTTCACAATCAAGGATTACATCTTCATTGAAAAACTTCGACAAAAAATAATTGTTTGTAGTTTGGTTTGAGGGTTAAGATAACTGTCTGTGTCTTATACTTCCTATCCTGATTACCCTAGTTATTGATCAACAATTGGAACCCGATTGAGTCTTACAGACAACTTACACTGTTATTGATTGTCTTTCATCATACCCTATTAGAATGTCTTATACTTCCTATCCTGATCACCCTAGTTCGCTTTGATAATTGTTTGTCAATTAAGGCTTTCTTTTGTTTCCTTTCGTTTCTGATTTGCGTGAGTATGTGAGATTGTCTGGTTGCATCACAGTTGAGCTGTGAACTTGGAAATAGAGAAAGGATGGTGAGATCTCCTTATCATTTTATATTTTCAATACCAATGGTTACCTCTATTAAGAATTCCCTTTTGACTGTTATTTCTGTCATAGTTTTCTATTGAAAAGAGTTTCCGATTGGCAATTTCAATGTTCATTTCTCTTTCCAATCACAAGGCTCTGCCTACCCCTGGGAGAATAGATCTCTCGTATTCGGATCCAAGTTGCGATAGACTGTAGAAACGATAATGACTCTGTGCTTTTCAATAGAAGAAGATTTTGGAATTTAGTTGTATTTCCAAGAAGTTGGCCGAGGAACCGAAAGAAATTTCATTTTTCATTAATCGGTTCAGTGCTCGGTCGTTCATAGGTTTTCATTCCACACGTAACTTACGTGTTGATCGGCTGTCCAAGCCCTTTCATTTTCCACGCGGCGAAAAAAAATGTGCGGTCTTGATAATTTTATAGAGTTAGCATGCTCTGTTGCTAATCCAAATATGGTTCTGCCCTCCTTCAATCGCATTTTGAATTCTCTTCCTTGTGATTCCGCCTGTCTTGCTTGTGCTCTTTGGATATCAAGTTGTTGATGTATTATTGATTGTCTTTCCTGTGTAGATTCGTTGTTTCCAATAATTTCTTGTTGAGCTTATTAGAAGGTTGTGATCTCCTTGAATCCCTTCAACAGTTGCTCTACAAGGACTGTCTCTGTGTGACTGTATCTATGCTCGTTTTCTTTTTTCTTTCAAGTCTTATAGCTCGAGATAGTTCTTATTCCATGTATTTTCCCTTATTTGGCTATTTTCTATTTCCTTCAGTCGAAGGTGTTTACTCTGCTTCTTCCCCCCCCCCACACGTTTTTGATTTGTTATTTCATGATGAAGTTCCTTATGTCTTATTTCCAACTGGTTTGAA